TTGACAGAACACAAAGAAGGTACCTGTACAAGATGTCTAAAGATAGCAACAGCTCTTGGTGCAAGGTTAAAGAATGTGAAATGCCATCCAAAATTTGAGCAGGATGAGGTGTAGAGCAAGCTTCCAGAAGCTTTAAAAGAGCAACACTCTAATGTAGAAACCTCAGAACCCGAACACGAAAAAAAAGAAAAGAAAATCAGCGTTCTGCTAGTGGCATCAGACTCAGATGAAATTGAACATGTGTCAATCCATTCTGCCTTGAATAGTTTTTGAGCAGAACCTGCCCTCAGCACAGACATGTCCTCTGCACTGTGGTTGTAGCATGAAGGGACACATGAATCTTTAGCAGATCTAGCACAAATATCTTGCAATGCCCATTACAATAATTCCATGCGAATACATGCCCTCACTTTCAGGACTGAGTAGACTTATAAGCTCTCATGTTTTATATTGCTTTGGTTTGGAAGACAGTTTTTTGTTCATCATTCTAGATTTGTAAGTTCAGCTTTCATGATAAAGAGATTGCACTACAATTCTTGTATTATGTGAACTAAAAAATATTTTTACAGTGCAGGCATTTGTAATCAAAAATAGAAAGTAAGCACTGTAACACTTAGAATTCTATGTTGTAACTGAAACCAATATTTGAAAATGTAGAAAACACCACAAATATTTAAATAAATGATATTCTATTATTGTTTAAGAGTGCAAATAATCACATGATTAACGATCTTTTCTTTAATCGCTTGACAGCCCTAAATTAACCCTTTGCCATTTGTTTGCAGCTAATTTTGGCTACATTCACAGTACATTAGACTCTTAATATCTTTATTATAGAGTTGCACTATCTGTCTGGGAATGAAGCTGTCTAGAACAGAACTTACTCCAGAAATGTTACCCTCCCAAGAAGCAAAATGTCAGATGGTTCCTCAACTCTGGTATTAGAGTTGCCTGGGGATAGTCTAATGGGGCTCATCATGAGTTGACCCTGGCCCCCTTTTAAAGAAAAGAGGTCCCACAAGCTCAGGAATGTGCTGTGCTGAGTGCAAGAGCTGCCACCTTGTAATAAGAAACAGAATCATTGTCATTTCTTGGATCTGAGCAAGATAAGGGGTTGTTACTAGCACCAGATGCACCTGCCTAGCAGAGAAAGTGTCCAGCGGCTCTTTGCTCATTCCTGTTAGGAATGCAAGCGACCTGGTGATGCATTCAGTGAAGGCTGCATGTAAAAGGAGTCTGAATGCATCTCATCTGTTCGATAGAATGAATCAGTGAGAAGTCTCCCCAATGGATAATCACTGAACCTTTATTGCTCCGTTTAACTGTCTAGGGACCCAACCACTCGTTTGCCATGTAAGCAAGGGATGGCGATTGTTAAAGGCATTGCCTCACTGCATGCGTTAGCAATTAGCTCCCTTCACCATTGTTGACATGGAACATGTCCCCATCAATGGTGAAACAGTTCGCATTTCCAGCACACGCTGCTGCACATCATGCAAATGTATCCATCCCGTCTCCTTGCAGTGTACTTGTTCAAGCTGTGCCAGGAAGTGAATACCAAGGGATGGCAACAGCACAGCTTGCTCTGCTTCTGGCACTTTTCAATATAGGCCTTAAGCACGCAGCAATCATCTTGTCAGATATCAGCCACCAGATGCAGGATATGGCCAGGGAAGGCTGTTGGGAACAGCCTTTTGCCTTTTGGAAGAGATGAATGTGAGCCCTCTTTTTGGTAATTCACTACTGGGCATAAAAATACAAAAAACTATCTTACCTTTAAAGATGGGGTAGGTCATACGGGCATTTCAATTAGTTTTATGTCCCTCCTTTTGAGACAGAAGCATCTATGAATGCTCAACACTTGGGTGCCATCTCATGGTCAAGTGCTTGGCAATCGTTGAGCCATGCAACACTTGCTGGCATCTCCTGCTGGTATGCCTGGCTAGTATCCCTGTTTTATAGGAGCAGCTCACCTCCAGGCCATTCTGTCCAGGCCTGGCTCCTCTGCTGTTTTTATTTTATAAGCCTTTATCACCTGCCACAGTCAACGCAAATACTAACATTGACTTTCCAAGTTTGTGAAGTGAAGCCATTGAAAGCTTATCTTCAGCCCCAAACTGGTTGTTTCCTCGGGTTACATATGTTGAGTTTTTGGGGCACTCATGGGCCTTTAAAAAGAAAAGCCAGAAGTGGCTTGAAGTCCTCTATAATGGGGCACAGATCTACTTTAAATACAGGTTTTCTACTCCCTTGCCATAATGCAAATTATATTCTGTGCAATGCAGTATTTGCAAGACCTAGCACAATGACAGCTCAAGTCAGTCTTCTGCCAAATGTTTGTGATAGCTACTTGGAAAAAAACCTCTAGTTTTACCTGGGAAACTTCCTTTTGGATGGCTTCTTACATAAACTATCCTGCATAGTAGAGTGAAATTCATGTTCCCCCTCCTGAATTAGGAAAAGTTGTTCTAGTTAGAGATTGGGGTTTTTTTTAGTTTCTCCAGGACTTGGGACAGATTTAGCTACAGTTGAAGTTAAAGAGTGTTTTGAAGTTGATTCACAGGCACGTTATTTTATTGGTCCTATATAGTTCTATTCTATTGCTAGATCTTTGATGGAAAGTAGCAATATTTTACACATTAAGAATAGTCATCCTGGGGACATAGTAGTCAGATTTAAGGATCAGACATTTTATAGGCAGCTATAAAAGAATGGGAAGTGAATAGATCAAAGTTATGAGACCCTGTAACTCTAAGATATTAAAATGAAATGGGAGAACCATGTCTGCTAGAATAACCCAATGATTTAGTCATGAAGCAACATAGTATGGTCTGAGAAGGCTAAAGCTGTATGGTAACTCCTGCATCAAGACATTGGAAAGGAGTTAAAGGCACCACTAACATGATTTGAAAAATAATAGATCAAGCATTGATGGTCAAGGGCAGAATACTAAATGGAAATAGGATTCCCAGTATGGTATCATTTTCTGAGATTAGTAAAAACGTCATCAGAATGGCTTGCCAAGAAATTACACTGACATTCAGATTTAATTCAGATGAGCAAGACACTGATTATGCAGTTACCCTCTTTTGTAGCATTCAAGACAATATCTACCCCCTGGCTTGTTTCCTGTAATGCAGGGAGCAGCCTTCAGGTCTATCCCTTTTCTTTTATTTTTACACAGATTAATGTGAACAGTATGCGTGTTCAGGAAAGAAAGCCGACTGTTAGTAATGGGGCAAAGAAACCCCCAACAATACACTATATCATTTCATGAGTCTCAACATCAGGTTCCTTTTCCAAAGACACTATGTTTGCTAGGAGGAGTTTGTGCTTATTGTCTATACCCAGAAGGGGACCAGCCACTACTTGTTCAATTTCCAGTGATAAAAAAAGAGAGCAGCGCCTTTAGAATGCAACCAGCTGTCACTGGAAGCTAAAATAAACTTGCTTTTTGCTTATTTGAGCATCAGGGTACTTCAATGTTCGGGGAGGGGAGGGGCTGAACTGAAATATTAAGATCCTCGCCTAAAAAATCTGTCATATTGTATTATGACTAGAGTGAAGTTTTCAAAGAGGAAAATGAGTTCCAAGACTGCAGAGAAGCCACCTCAAAAACTGGGGTCTCAGACTTACAGGAAAGGTTTGTAGCTCTGCTCTTCAGTCCTTTTAATTTGCTGCACTGCCAGCTATCAGGCAGCAGCCAGCACTAGACACTTCAGAGGAGGTTGCAAGAGACAGTTATGAGAGAAACCCGGAGTCCTGGAAGGGATTTTAATCTTTACCTTTTGATATGTTGGGATTGATAAAACCCAACATCCACATTTTCCAAATCCTGCTAAGCTCTTGGCCACAGTGACATCTTGTGTCAATGAGTTCCACAAGCCAACTGAGCACTGTGTGAAAATTTTCCTTTCAGTTTTAAATTTGCCACTCTGATTTCAACAGCTTGTTACCCTTTCTAAAGAATACAGGAAGGTAGATTAGAAACTTCTAGCTATTCATTTTGTATACCTTTCCCATGTTTCCTCTACTTATCTCCTCTCCAAGACTAGTCCCAATGTTCAGTATTTAATGGATTCTGGTCTTTTAATCACTCAGCCACATCTGAGTCCCCTTTCTGTCTTTTGATAGAGAGGGAAAGCTACTTTAGCTCTAGTCAAAGTGGCCTACAATTGCTTTATACAGCAGCATGGTAACATTTAATCTCCTTTTAGTATGCATTCTAAGTGATTTGCTTTTAAAAACAATACACTACTGCACACTGAGCAAAAGTCTCCAGTGAACTGCTTACAATGAGACCCCTATCTCCCACTGAGCTTTTAAGGACCCCTTAAAAAGGGTGTATAAATAGTTCACATCCCTTCCAGATACTGCATGTCAACATTGAATTCATCCACTCATGATGCCCATTTCTTAATAACCTCTTAATTTAGTTTGTGACTGGTTTCACAAAAAACTCTATTAACTATTTGGTTGACACTTTCAGAGAATCCCAATATGGGACTCGTTCCTGGGGACTGGCTCAAAACAATTATCTTTTTTTTTTCCAGTCAGCCAGTGTAGGTACATACAGCTGAAGGCAGAAAGTTGAACCTCTCTAGTCTGGCACACTCAGACATGATGTGAGTTAGCAAAATGTCCAATTTATCATAAGTGAAGCACACAGGGCTTCCAAGGAAGCTACAGTATTCTTTTCTTAAAGAGACAGCTCAGGCAGTCTGGAGTTCTCCAAATAAACAACCAAATGATCAGGATGGAGATTCTTTTTAATTTTGTTTTAAATAAAGTTATTTCAGCACACAGCTGTCTCTATTGTATTTATTTCAGGCACTTTGCCATAGTTTTTTTATAGCTGATTTTCATTGCACTCTGATGTTTAAAAAATAACATTGACAATGTATAATCATAAATTAGCCATGTTTAGCTTACCATACCTCTGCCACTATAAAACACATCCTAAGGAAGCACACCATTATGGAGACGACTGACCAGCAATGCAGCAAAGATGGTGACTGAGATGACATTATTAGAGGTTGGGATGGCAGCACTATCATTCGGGTTGCCCAACATTTTACCATTATAAGACCCTGTTTTCAGTTGCTTATCACTTTTGCCAAATTTTAATCCTTGGAGCTGAAATTTGTGATGCTGGGTATCTGCCTCAAACTAATTGTTTTGGGGAAATTTCAGCCAAAATGGTTCATGTGTTTCTGAAAATGAAGCAAAGGAAAATATCTTGTTTCATTTTTGTTAAAGTATTCTCAAGGCCTTTTCTCTGAACAGCTCTAGCACCCCTAAATTTAGGAGCAGGGGATTGAAAAGTTGCAGGAGGGTGGCCTTTATGCTGGGGGTGTATCTTTTGTTGTCCCTGTGATCTTTCACTTAGATTTGATCAAGTTATAGTTACAGTTCATACATTCTCAGTAGAGAACTTAACAGCTAAAATCTCAGAAAATTCCATCCTCATTGAGCATCCTCCAGCCCATTACAACTCATGGTACTAACCAAGCTGCACAGGTGCCATTCCTCCGGACAGACCAATTGAGTTTGCTCCAGCCCCAGGACTCAAATAGACTTACTCTGCAATGGAAACTAACCTTAAACACACCCTACAATGACTGCTCCCAGCTGCTTAGAACCAAGGCTGGGCCAGCTCTGGAACAGAGAATTGAGAGCCAATGTCTTCCATGATCTCAGTGATCCCCCTTCTGGCACCAATGCAGCAAGAAAGAGGAAGCAATATGATTTGAATGCAGAGAGGACAAAAGACAGTAGATTGATGAGTCTAGTGAGGGGAGAGAAATGGTGATTAGGAGTTTGAGTGGTTGGGCATTATAAGATTGTGAGCTTTCCTGACAGACAGGACATCATTTGCAGCAATGAATAGACAAAGAGATTGGGAGCCAGAGTTGGAAGTGGAAACTGGAGGTGAGGGCAGTTGTTTGGGAGGAGGGGACCCTGAAATCAGATGAGGAGCTGAGAAGAGGGAGGAAACTACAATTGGCTGGACAACAAGGTTGGTTCTAGGAATCAGTGCAGGGGGGAAAGGTGGGAGAAAGAAACCTGATATGATCAGGGTCAGGGGTGAGTAGTGGGGAGGAACAGGGACTCGCAGGGCAAATAAACCGGAACAAGGAGCTAGGGTGGGGGTTGGGAGGCAGCTAGAGATAGGATGAGGTGGTGCCTGATTCTTCAGACTCATCCTTCAAGTTTTGGTCCAATGTTTCTCTGCTTTGAGCCTTATTTGCTTGGATTTTTATGAATTTCCACAATCCATATTCCTTAACTTGTCTCCAATCAGTTTTTGGCACATCAAACTTGGGTTTTATGCAACCCATATATTACACACATGCAAGCTTCCATTTACACTTTTCTTGTCTTTTGTGCAGTTTTTAAGTCCTTATGTTTTGTGTCACCCTGTTACTGGTCTTCCCAGAAAAGAGACTTCTTTTTACAGGTTTGTGTATTTTTACCTCAGACTTCCAGCAGAGCATGTGACATTATTGCTGACTGCAAAAAGTCATTTTAAACCAATCAGCAATTCTATGTAAAATACCAAATGGCAAAACTACTTATGTCAGCAAGGCCCTGGTCTAAGTGTTACCTTATCTAAACTCATTCACTATCCTTAAGTACAAATTATTAAAATACAGCTATCAAAGCTTTTAACCCTGTGATTTAACAATGCTTCCTTTTAACATTTCAGTATCATATTCAGTATGTGTATATCACTCTGCCCACATACTCTATTTAGGATGGAGCCTGGGTAGGGTTGCCAGGTGTCCAGTTTTCACCCGGAGAGTCCATTTGTGCCCCTGTCTGGTAAAAAATATGTCTGAAATTTTCTGTTATTCCCGGGGGGAGCATGGGCGTGGTTGGTTTTTTTGCTCAACAAGTTTGGTCCCCCGTTTTTTTGTTTAACCAATTTTTCTCCCTCCATGATCAGGATTTTTTGTGAAAGTATCTGGCAACCCTAAGCCTGGGGGAGTTTTGGAAAACACAGTGCTCCCTTTCTGTTAAAATTACTTATTTTCTTTAAACATGGGTTTTCAAAGGCCTTGTTCATTTAGGGTTCAGTTTTGCCTGTGAATCATTACAAAAACAAAAACAAAGTCTCTAAAATTTCCTGTGTTGTATTTTGAGAGGTATCTCAATCTTATGGCCTTGATATTTAGGGTTTTTTTTTTTTTTAAATGATACCATGACACCAGTAGTGGAAGCGGTAATTTCCTTGAAATTGGAATTCCATTGCTGCATCAGAAGAAAGAGTTGGACACTGTACTGCTGGAAAAGGGCGGCCAAAACTGCCTGATAGTGAGTGCTGAAGTCTAACGGAGTTAAACTCCAAACTTTTATTCAATTTTGTAATCTGCCTGATCAAAAACCCATTGCAGTTAACAGGATTCTTTTCATTGGCATGATTGGGCAATGGATCGAACCATAATAATTGTTATAACCTGTGCATTAGCAGAGGAAATTTTTTCTCATGAGAGCTTTGTTGCACCTTAAACCAAGGCCTAGTCCCGCTTTTGGTCCCAGAGAACCCACTGGCTATCTGTGTGATTGCACATGAACTGAATGAAAGTGAACTTTGTCTATGAGTCCTCAACAGATTATATTTGCCCCTTGCAGAGGAGTAGCAAACTTCTAGACTTCATGAATCCCATTTAAGACAGGTTTCTAGTGGAACTTAAGTGACACATAGCCTTCTACTCAGAGGTGATTTCACCCAAACAGATATAACCATGGGAAAAAATGAATGGAGGGTCATTCAAACATACACATTGTCTAACCTCAGAGCCTGACAATATCTTGGAAATCACTTTTCCCACAAAAAAATTACAAATCCCTTTCAAAATGAATGTCTACACACCATTCTAGCTGTGACTCTCCTATTAGAGCTGAAATAGACTTTCCTTTCTACACCCTATCAGAATAAACCCTCTTGGCAAATAAGTGCTATATATATGCAAATAAGTAACACTGAGCTGAATAGGCTTATTATACAGCTGTTTGATCCCTTTTTTGACCACCATTATTCTACCTTTCTTCAAATTATAATTCCATGCACATGCTTGGTTTTGGTAATCCAGTCTAGTTCTCTTATCTTGTTCCTATTAATGCCCAGACTCAGTACCTTATTAGCAGCCACAGAAAAAAGATACATTTGTTCACAGTAGTTATGAAAATTCCAAACATCTTCCCTTTATTTGATATAGTGTAATTCCTGACATTTTCTCAATACCAAGAAGATTGGATTCATTGGAATGTAACTCTGAAATAAGTCTTGCACCAAGTCTTTAATTTCAGACCAAAAAATTATCCATTTAAGGATTCCCAGAAGATGTGGAGAGGGTGACCTTTTGGTCTGATAATCTCCCCAGCACTGTATCATAAATACAACAATGTGACAGGTTCCTGGGAGCAAGCCCCCTGCCTGTCTCAGTTTCCCCCAAGAGGCGGCTTTATGGGCATGAGCCCTCGCACTCCAGTCCGAGGACGGGGCCCTGCGAGCCCATTGCCTGTTCAGTACATGGGGCAGAAGTACCTCAAGGGGGCCTTGGCCCTCCAGTCAGAGTCCTATGCAGGTCCAAGGTCGTCAGTAACGGCCTGTGGGGCCATCGAAACGAAAGAGCGGGCCGCCGTAGGTCCTGGCTTCACACGCTGAGGGAGGAGGAGGTTTAGGGGGACCCAGTCCCTCCCTCTCCACTGGGTCCCAACCCGGGGCCCTAAGGGTGGGGGTGTTCACCCCTACCCAGCTGACAGGGATCCAACCCGAAGCTCGCCAGCCCATGGGCACCAAAAGCGCTCTGCCCCAGGCACCTTCCTAACCCCCTCTGGCTTCCCAGGTTCGCAGGGGGGGTTCCCCGGGTCTTACCGCCGCTCTGCCTTCCTGCTCAGATCTGGCGTGGCTGCTGCCTCCCGAGGTCCACGGAGTACTCCTTTGCAGGGTCATGGGGGAGCCCCTTTGGCTGCCCAGGTGAGGGCTCGGCTCCTCGCTCCGCCTCTGGCTCTCTCTTGGGCCCGATTTAAATGGCCCGCCGCCGGGCATCACAGGGCGTCTGCTTGGGTGTACGTCGGCCAGCTGGCGGGCTGCCACCTCCGTGGGCTGCGGCCGCCTGGCACAGGCGCGGTCCTAAAATCTGCCACCCCTGTCTCTGCAGCTTTGCCGGCTGCCACTCCTTGGGCGGTCGGCCGACCAGGCTGCCCCCGGTTTCAGTGCGGGCCTCGGAGAGCCCGTCACAAACAACTAAATTTGTTCTGTGTGAAAAAATTTGGACCAAATCCTAGGATTTAAAGATCTGAGCCCTGGTCATTACCTTCCATTATAAAGCTAATGGAATGTTGATAACAAAGTCCTGCTTTTCGATTGGCTCTTGTACTGGTCTTAGATTGCTAGTCATATAAAGAGAACCCTATTTATATCCATGGCAACAACCAGTCCAGGTGTCTAACTTTCCAACAGGTAAGAAGTTAACTATTTATGTTTTCTTTACACTTCTACATTTTTCAGGTTAGTTACAGCAGTTATGATCCCCAGGCCAGGAATTTCCCAGCAGTTAAAGCCCAAAAATATCTGGGCAGGATTTAACATATGGGAAGGGGTTTGCCACAAGGTAGTGGACTCCATGCAGAGATGGAGGGATTTGCCATGAGAAAGTCGGGTCTGTGTTGAGGAGAAGGGAACTTATGTTGCCTAGGGGGAGGGCTTCACACTCCAGAGCAACATATATGTTTTGTTGACAAAACTGGTACTGTGAATATGGCTTTAGTAAACTGCATGCAAGGAAACAATATGTGTTTTCATATGGCTACATGGAAAGGTATACATCTGGGAACAAAGAGAATAGGCCATACTTACAGATGGGGACCTATACTCTGGGAAGCAGCAACTCTGAAAGGGTATGTCTACACTACAAAGTTAATTCGAACTAACGAATGTTAGTTCGAATTAACTTTGATAGGCGCTACACTAGCGCTCCGCTAGTTCGAACTTAATTCGAACTAGCGGAGCGCTTAGTTCGAACTAGGTAAACCTCATTCCACGAGGACGAAGCCTAGTTCGAACATACTAGTTCGAAATAAGGGCTGTGTAGCCCCTTAATTCGAACTAGTGGGAGGCTAGCCCTCCCCAGCTTTCCCTGGTGGCCACTCTGGCCAACACCAGGGAAACTCTATTGCCCCCCTCCCGGCCCCGGATCCCTTAAAGGGGCACGGGCTGGCTACGGTGCCCGTGCCAGGTGCAAGCCT